AGAAAACCAAACGCTTTGAAATCGACGCGAGGCAGAACAGAGCGTTACAAAGGACCCAAAGTACGAGATATGGTAAAACAGCTTGACAGGAGCATAGCCATCACAATGATGATGCCAATGCTGATGATGATGTTGCAACTGCATACTGATAATTACAACGCTGTTATTCTGTGTCGTACATGCATATGAGCAGGGCTTAGGGCAGTATCGCATTACTTGGCTGGTTTGCTGGCGCGCCAGCTGCTGCTGGTTGCCGGCTTTGATGGCCCAAATGAAAGCATTGCGCCTTTGTCCATGGCACAATGAGCTGTAAAACGTGGCATCGGCATATGATAACAGCAGGCCGGCTATGGCTATCCACCTTATGCGACCCACATCTGCCAGCGGCAACTGTGGCTGACGCATGCCGCTCCTCTTCGAGATGCGAGTGGCAATCAACAGTTGTGATTGTTATTCAATCGATCAATTTGATATGATAAATAAGAGAAATTGATTGAATATTGATACAATTGCCAAAGAACATGATGAATGAATGAATGTCAGTTAAAAAGGCGATTTATTTGAATTCACTTGTTTAATTCAATTCAAATGCATATCGATAAGCCAATTTATTTCGTTACGAGGTTGCGATATGCCCTAATGATGTTATCGGCAAGTGTGCCGAATAATTATAAGGCAATTAATGGCTTCTAATTTGTTTTTGGATGGAAATTGCAAAAAAATCAGTAAAATGTTGGGAAAAATCAAACATATCTCCGAAAAAGCACATATCAATAATGCTTACGCTCATCGATATACACAATTTATATCGAAAAGTGCTCGAAAGCAACATATCGATAATGCGTATGCATATCGATATACACATTTTATATCGAAAACGTGTGTCAGTTTCCAGCTGAATCGCTTTAAAATTAAATTGCAAGCATTCTTCTTTATCATTTCGTGTCGACAATTGAGAGAAAAAAACAGCCTTTGAAATTGCGTTTGCGACGCGTTTTCGGCGACGTCTTCAAATAATTGAATTCGATTGTTTGGCTTCAAGTTGCTCAACATAGACTGAAAGCCAGCCGTTGCCAATATCAATTGAGTACACGGATAAACGAGATGTGAATAAAAATAATGCTCAGCATTTACATGCTCCACACACAGAAGAGCCGACAGTAACCAGCCACAAGTCAATTGACTCATCGATTTTCGATGTTTTAAATGTGGTCGAGTGCACTCACAGAGCAGCTAAAGGTTCTTGAAATAAATCGACATATCACTTAAACAATCTGTAAATAAATGAATATCGCAAATTAATCGTCCAATTGAAACTGCAAAGCTGTTTCTTTTCGCATATCGATGATAACGTAAATCGATGAGCTCTCCGCCGGGGAACGTTTGCAGCATTAAATGCACAATTTATTTATTGTATTGCCGCAGTTCACCAGAGGTGTGAAATGTTGACCGTCGATTTGGCTCGCTATTTCCATGGCCAAAAATCGATGGCCAATATAATAAAATCGATTGAGCTATAATTGCCAATGGCCGTAACGCAACAGTAGATAGAACCTAGTGCGGAAAGATTTGCTTATTAGTTTTCGCAATGCAATAATCAAGTGCATGGCAAAGCATGGGAATTTTGAATGCGGCTACAAAATGTCATTCAATAAACGTCAAACGGGCTTTGGACTAACCGATACTCTGTGGTCAGATGTCCTGGTCACGCATTTACATATGCAGGGCCATGCATACGCCCTCCTTCCATTCCCGCAAGCACACTCACACGCACACGCACACGCATACGCACACGCTTTGTAACAAAAACAATAGATAATCTAACCGTACGCACAGTAGATACACTGAGATGACAGTTGAATTGGACCAGCTGCTGAGTAATTGACAGTCAACTCAATTTGCATGCGATTCGAAATTCTCGGCAACTGATAGTAGAGGGTTGAGCGCCTGGGAAACGCATAGATGCCAATGAAATTTGCATTTCCACATCGGCTAGATTCTGCATGCGCAAGACACAAGCTGCACAAGTAACATGACATCAAAGGGCTGCACTTAGACAACTTAACTGACTGTTAGTCGTTAACCTTACTCCCTTATATACTCCAACAGATATATCTATCGATAATATATATAATTTCATTCGGAGCATTCGTCAGGGCGTGCTGGTGCCGAACAATTGAATTGTAATTGACAGCGAATTCCCCAGCATTTAATGTGCTGTTTGTTTTTACATTACGAACATACAAAATAGAGTGAACAAGATACAAGATACAAGTTCGCAGCTGTTAATGCAAGGCTAGTCATGTGCCTCGATTTATCGAATGGCATTTCTATTTGTACTTTTGGCACAAAATATTTACACAATTGACAGCTGTTAGATGTTAGATGCTCGCTGCTCGCTGCTACGTAAGCGTCGACGTCAGCAGCGGCAGCAGCAGCAGCAGCAGGAGCAGCGACAGGCAACAAGAGACGCAACAAGATTGTGCCCTTATTTTGTTAGCTACCTTCCCCAACCAGCCCAACACACCCCACCCCCACATGCATTATCCAAGCTTATTGTCACATAATCTCTGTCAACATAAAGCAGGCCACATCCGCGACTTCCCCATTGCCCCAAGAAATACGCTTGCTGCACGACCATTACAGCTCTGCTAATATGCTTGGCACACACTATACGCACACTCACACGAACACGCACACACACACGCACACACAAGTTGGTGGGTCTTAAGAAGTGCTGCGGCTTGTACGAGTAACATCCGGATAGATCTAAGATGACAAGGTGATAGAATCCACTCAGTACCATCTAGAAAATCTATTTATATGCAGCTCGTACAAACATATATTTTTTTGTCTGTCTTCAATATTTACTTTTTCAAATCAAAATATTTGCAGCTGTTCAAAATTATAATATCGTTTGTGTAGACAGTCTTGGGAAATACCGTATAAGCTGTTAGTTAAATAAAGTATTTAAATTCTTGTTCTATGAAATTTTTAATATAAAGATCTGGCTGTGCATACTTGATCTTTGCCCAAGTGTAGTTCCAATTTACTTGTCGACTTCTCGACTCTGCAGCATCCGCTCTCTGCACACTGTGCGCCGTGTAAAGTCCAGCCAGTCTAAGTTTGTCAACGAGAAACTTTCTCGAATGGGCTTATTGAACTAACTTTGAGTTGTTTTCAACTTATAAAACTTATAAATCTTATGTTAACTCATTTATGAGCTTTAATTATAACCTCAAGTGGAATAGAATTGCGTTGTGAACTTCACTTGTTAACATTCCCTCAATATAAGGCAATTGTGCGTAAACGCAATATTTCATTTTACAAATATTTTAAAGCTGTTGCCTGTGTGTGTGTGTATACGTGAGTGTGACATTTCTTTTCACATAATTCGTGTTCAATTATACGCACCGGGTAGCTTAGCTTAGTTGTAAATTTAAGGGTTGCAGCTGCAGCGTATGCCTCACTTAAAAGGCGGCACATTAATGTACACATCGGCACACACACACACACACACACACACACACACGGCTAGACACACGGCCATATAATAACAGCTGAAAAGTTTTTGTCATTAAATTAGACACGTCGGGGGCAACAAATAATGAATAGATTTTGGCAATCGTGCTACTGATAAACCTGTCTAATCAATCAATATGCGAGCCTCACTTTTTGGCATGTTGCATAAACTCGTCCAATAGAAAATGGCAGCCATAAATGTTCCCACGGCACATACACACACACACACACACACACACGCACGCGTGCACACACATGCACGCACATATTGATTATTTATAGGTTTTGTGTGGTCTCAGGTTCAGGTTGGGCAACCATTTTGCATAAAAAAAAGAGAGAGACAAAAAAAAAATGCCAAACTGAGACACAAATCGAAGCTGCCAACCTGTCGGTAGTCATTTATTGTGCTGGACATTATTGTTATTATTGTTGTTGTTCTTTTTGTTGCTGCTGCTGTTGTTGTTGTCGTGGCGTGCTAATGGCAAATTAGGGCCTGCAATTTGTGTCAAGTTAAAGTTTGTATGGCCAAAAGTCAGCCATTTTATGGCCACCAACAATTTTACCAATATCGCAAATTAAACAATTTTAACCCAGTGGCAAGACTGGCAGCGCTGCCAGACATATGCACGACAACAGCAACAATTCGGCTCGACATTATAAAATATGATGAATTTAATTTGCAATTAGTGCCCGACCAGCTAAATGCCAGCACGAGGAAAAGCAACGTTAATTGAAAATAACGAACAGTGTTGTGAGTACAAAGTGAATGCTAAGTGAATGCACGAAAATTGAGGAAAATTGTTTTGCACAGGCAACTTGAGTGACAAATTAGATGGAAATGCTAAGTACAAATAAATATACTTGCCAGCCCAAATGAATGATTGACATCGGGCTGGGCGGGATGGTCGGTGGCAAACGAAGAGCCACGAATATTTATTCGACATCAAGTGCTCAACAACGAATAAAACTGAATCATGTTGATTATTCAAGCGTAATTTGATGCCAGCAATTATTGAGAGTGTCGCAATAGATTTTCACTTTATCACAAAAGCGATTGGTTTTGATTGAAATAGTCGTTTATAAGAGAAAACATTCTTCAAATAGAACAATTTATACTAATCATTTACTTAGGTATTTATTAAGTGTTTAATAGCCGTGAACACATTCATTAGGTCTGAGTGTTGTATAACGTGTGACTATAATATAAACAACAGCATGTTTTCCAATTAAGGTGACATATGCTTCTTGAACCATGAGAAATTTGGGCGGCTTTAAAGTCACACGCTCATTCAAGTGGATTCGGTTCTATATGAAATGTTTGACTCTGGCCTTGAAGTGTTTTTATGAAAATTGCAATACATGGGAAAGCTGTCAGTCGATATGAAGCGGATTTCCTTTTTATTTATTTTTCCTGCTTACTTCGAATTGAACCTTGAAGCGGATGTGTTGCCCAAAGACGAGCCGAATCTAAACCATAATGGAATATTTTATTTCGATTCTGATGATATATCCAGGGCGTTAATATCACATACAAAAATGAAATACCTTAAGTCTGTGTACACTTATGAGCTTCGAATAAAACTTCAAAAATCAAACTTCAAAATAGATACTTATCGACTTTATATGGAAATGGGAAAAGATATTGAAAAAACTGATAAGCTCGAACTGCGCATGGTATGCGAAGATATATTTCCTTAGGAAATTGCACCTATTTCATTGTTAATTGTGTGCATGTTCAACCACACAGCCATGGTAATCATATTTACACATGTTCAATGGATACTGAGCAACATTTGTATAAGTTTGTATAAGCACGCACCGGTCATGGATCTAGCCACAATGTGCTGAATGTGAGGACTTGCAGTAGCAAACGTCAGTTTCAAACCAATTACGCATATGAATGAAATAAATACAGCCTTTTGAATGGATCCTGTTGCAGCTGTAGCCACAAGTTGCAAGTGGGAGTTCTGTGGCATTTTACGCTGTTGCAATTGCGTAAGAAAAGGTTATAAAGAACGCAATGCTTACATTTCATATTAGCCGTGTACTTCAGATGGGAAAATAAATGGCAGAGTGTGTTACTCTGTGTGTGTGTGTGTGTGTGTGTCGGACGTATGCGAAACCTCGCCGTCAGTCGATGCTTGCTTCATTCATTTGGATGTAAATTGCCCTTAAGACGCATATGCCACACGCACAGCCAAGCAATCAAGCAACCGAGCAATCACCCAAAACGAAAAAGCCCACCCACAATTTATAGACAGCCATCTTTTAGCTGCCAGGCAAACAGTTTTTATTTTTTTTTTTTTGCAATTTTCTATGACAAAATGTGAGCAATTTTCAACAAATTTGTCTTAATTTGCCAATCAACTGCAAAATGTATTTAAAGTAAGCCAGCGGCAGAGGCAGAGAGCGAGAGTGTCTGCTCGGTAAAGTATTAGATAGCGAACGGATTGGCTATGGCTTTCGAGTGGGCTGCCCGTCGCAATTGCATAACAGTAATTGACACTGTGTAAATGCAAATCCTTTAAGTGCCGCTGAAGTGCAGGCCACTTGTGACGAGTGCAGGGCGTCGTCTCAGCCGCTTGGCAGTTCGCAGTTAGCAGCGTGGCAGTGTGGCAGTTGGCAGTCAGCAGTCAGCAGTAAGCACAGTCATGTCGAGAAGTAAGCACATACACGCACAGACGTCTATTGAGAGTGTATATTTAGAATGTGGCATATGTTTAAAGTTAACACTTTATCTCAATCTTATCACAATCGACGCACACAGGCGTCGCAGCTTATCAAACAGCTAAAATCTCGAAAAGAGAGCGCAACAGTGCGGGACGTGGGAAGGGGGTGGCAAACTTAGCCTGGATGTCGGCTGATAAAAGTATGCTGCACAGCCACAATGTCGCCTATTAATTGATTTTCAGATTTCAGCTACTGGAACAATCATTCACATTGTACTCCATGCAACTTGTACGCGATTCGGGTTAAAAGTTGTCGCACAGTGCAAACAATTTGTGCGTGTTGCGGCCCAATACTTGAGACCCGAGTCTTAAGTCGCTGCTGTTTTCAACTATCTAGTGCCCGTGGGCGAGCACAGTTATCTTATCGGGCCTGGCTAAGACCTGCTGCTTTAAACAGCTTTAGCGGCCAGCGATACGATTATGAAACGTGTCGCATTTCTCCAACGTGATTAACTCCGTAGGCAAAACAGTCCGTCCAAAATAAATATATATATATTTATATACTTATATATATATACCTTAAGTGCCAACCATATCAAATGCATGAAAAATAAATCATCAAACCGCAAATAGGTAGCAAGTGGGCTAACTTATGTGCGGCATTGTATAAATTACAAGGCAATCATGTGGCAATTATCTGGCTCATCAACGGCAGCGGAAGAAGCTGCAGCAATTGCATTTGCAGTTGGGTGTGCGTGCTTGTGTGTGTGCGTGTGTGTGGGAGACTTACAAGTGGCGCCTCAGCTTTGACGCCTGACTGCAAGTAAGTGTGTGTGTGTGTATGTGTGTGTGTGTGCGTGTGCGTGAATGTGTAAACACTTAAAGTCACATAGAAAATGCATGCATGGGCCTTTAATTGAATCAAATTAGCTGGAATCGTTGTTATCAATCTAATGCACAAATGATTTGCAAGTTAATCAACTTTTGGACGTCTTTACAGCTTGGATAAACTTAAGAATTGTATAATTGCGAATGTATCCACCGAAGCGAATGCATCAAATTAAGCTTGCGATGTCACCTCTCTGGATTTAGTCAACTATTTAGTTCTTTCAGTATTTAGTCAAGTAACTGTCAAAGTTAACAAGCATTTTAACAATTTATTCAGCAGCCTTAGCTGCCTGTGCAAAGTTAGCATGCACTACGTCTGCCTGAAGAAGAATGCACATACATGTAAATATGCAGACGTATGTCAGCAGCTTACGAAAAATAAACATCTGGGAGCTGACAGTTCACTATGCGTTTCATTAAATATCAGCATGCCCTGTCAGGCTGTCGTTGAGGTGTCGCCAACACAATTGTTGACGATTACTTGACAGAAGCCGTGCAGCAAAGAAAACTCAATTTGGCATCTTGTCAAGTAACATAAGCTTTAAAAGGCTCTTTAATTTTATTGATCGATAGGTGTGAAATTTTGTTCGCTTTTCAATTGGAATGCAAGTGAAATGTATTGGGACCCAAGAAATAGTGAGCCTGGTCAAAGACGCTGATGATATACCGCATTTAATTAGATTGCAGCAAATTGCAATAATTTCGGCAGATCCAATTTAGCTGAAAACTATATGAATATGGTCGCAAATGTGCATAATTATTGTATTTGGGCAACAATATGAGATCCGTGGCGTTGCATTCGCATAAGGCACAGTAAATATTTGCTATATATGTATATATTATTCGGTATATAACGTATTGAACTTTCCCTTTCGAGCAAGAGATGTTGGCTAACAAAATTGAACCGCAAATTGAATTAAATGCAACCAAGTGCAAATGTTGAACATGCAAACAAGAACAACACAAGCACAGACAAATATCCTGTACTCTCGATGGGCACACATGGCGGATGCGTGATGTGTGATCCATATTTCCTTAGCTGTTGTGCGAATATATTTTGCACAAAATTTCGAGTGTTGCGAGCTTCAATTGCAGTCTTCGTTTGAATTTTCAGTTTTGCGCTTCGAGTTGGAGTTTAAGTTTGAGTTTCAGTTGCAATTTGTAGTTTTTTAATTATTTTAAAGTTAATTACATTATTTGTAGTTTATATTCCGTTTGCTGTTAAATTACCTTTTGTATCGCTGTTTCTGACGACCTTCCTGTTGTTGCGATGCGTATGTTGTTTTTTTTTTTGTTTTTTATTTTCCTTATTTTTTGAAATGTATTTTTTATTTATTTTTTTTTTGCAGTTGCTTGTGGGGTTCGGTGTGTGGTAGTTGGGCGAGTGCCCCCAACTTGACTTACGGCACAATTTGTTTCGTTTTTAATTGCTTTTTAGCTTTTGGTTTTGTGTTGTTTTTTTTTTTTTTTACTTATGCGTATGCGTGATGTTTTTTTTTTTATTTTCTTTTCAGAGATTTTTTGGTATGCTTGTCTGGAATTTGGTAAGCGGCCGCTTTGAAGGCAGCAAAAGCGGCCAAAACTGTTGAAATTAACGCGCAAAGAGTAGAAAAGAATGAATTAATTTTAAGCACACAGTGAAAACACGGAGAATGGCTTTTGCTCATGTTATTAATATTATTATGATATTCTTTAGGTGGTTCGTTATTAGTTTTTTGTTTTTTTTTTCTGCGTTCTTTTGTTCATTCTAATTTTTCGTTAAATATTTTATGTCCTTGTTTTACACCTTTTGGCTTTGGCTGGCCAGCGGATTTGGTCGCTGTTTGCTTTTGGTTTATTTTTATTTTTATCGTAAAATTTGTCGCCTGTCTTCGTTGTTTCAGAGCACAGAATTCATACACTCGACTGCGCGTTGTGTGTGTTTATAAATAAATAAGTTTCACATCTAATGGCCACCGAAATGAAATTCTAATCCCAAGCCCAGCTGCAAACCAGCACACAAAGACTCACAGATACACATAGAGAAAGGGAGAGAAAGAGAGTGAGAGAGAGAGAGAGGGAGGGAGAGAGTGAGGCAGATAGAGAGGGAGAGTGGAGGGGGTAGAGCCAGTGACACCCAAAACGCTTAATGCGTATCTATGAGATACAACTACGCACACTTTGTTGCACTACGCTGTGCGTGAATTATGCGACACAAGCACTTAGCATTGCCCCAAAAACAAAAACCCAAGAACTGAAAACAATTTGATGAATTTCCACAGACAATATTGTGGCATACCCTGCATTGAGTACATCAATGCTATTGCCTGACTTGTCACAGTGGCAACAATTGAATAAGCCGCGTAAAAGAACTTAAGAACTTTTAAGAACTGAGCCTTTTGTTTTTTGTTTGTTATCTATTTGAATGTATTATTATTAAAAAAAAAAAAAAAACAATATATATGACAGACTGATAAATAGCTGGGCTTGCTATAAATAAATTAAATGTATTTATAATCCCGCTCTGAAATGCCATATTAGACTTTAATATGATCTGGTGAGCATATCTAGTTTTGCTATATCATGTGTTTATATATTTGGAGGATTTTGGGGAACTTAAGTTCGGAAATAGTAAAAATAACAAAAAAAAAAAAAAAAATAGAAACGTTTGTAATCAAAGCTGATATATTTAAGTTATATATGCGATAAGATACAATTGCGCAGGGAATATACGCTTTAGTCACTGCGATGAATTCTATAAGATAAAAGCCATACTCTAGAATATAATCTGATAATCCTTTAAGACGGGAAGTATATTATAGGAACAAGAAAAAAAGGTTTGTTTTTTATACATGAGGGCTACAGATATTGACAACTGCACTTAGGACCTCTATAAGATTTGTAGGGCATTTGAACTACGGTGAGATGTGTTGCAAAATTGTAGACTGCTTTTCGCTTTTCATTTTTCGCTTGATGAATATTTTAAAATAGTTTTCGGCTGCCGCAAAAATATGTGTTAATTTTTCTAGACATTGTAGTTTTAATGCGTTTACTGCTCTCGCCGTTGTTGTTGTTGTTCTTTTCCTTTGTTTTGGGGGCCGTCCAATAATTTTGATTGCTGCCAAAAATTCGTAGACAGACGGCCGCATTTTCGCCTGCCTGGGCTAAGGCGACCAATTCTCTAAGAAAATGTGGACAACGATATCATTCTCCCTCTCTTAATCTCTCTCTCGCTCTCTCTCGCTCTCTCTCTCTCTCTCTCTCTCTCTCTCTATCAACTCTTGTTGCTACTTATGTCCAATACACTACACAGCAACGCAGCCCCCCTCCCCAGCCCCCTAGCGTTCACCCACCACAACCCCTTAATAGTTGGCCAAGAGCATGTGTCGTATCGCTCTTCAGAATTGACGGGTTTCTAGCGCTAATTGATAGCAAGTGATATGAAAAATATATTATTGCCGTGTGTTAGCTTTTGAATTTGATTTCTTTGAGTCATGCCACATATATGGACTCTTGGCCGGTTGACAACGGCTGGCAGCCCAGCG